GACCGTGACCGTGACCGCGACCGTGACTTGATCCAGTGCCTTACTGCCAAGGGCGTTTCTGGGTCGAGCACCGAGGAGGATTTGGGCGTCTGCGGGGGGTCCTGGGCGGTTCCGGCGGTGTCTGCAGGGGGCTCCGTTTCCGACGCGAGGCGGCGACCCCCGAGTGATGACCCCTCTTGGCATGGCCTGGCCGCCAGGGCACTGGCCTACATGCCGCGCGGGCCGGGACCGAGGAGGCTCTGGGCGTCTGCGGGGGGTCCTGGGCGGATCCGGCGGTGTCTGCAGGGGGCTCCGTTTCCGACGCGAGGCGCGGCGACCCCCGAGTGATGACCCCTCTTGGCATGGCCTGGCCGCCAGGGCACTGGCCTACATGCCGCGCGGGCCGGGACCGAGGAGGCTCTGGGCGTCTGCGGGGGGTCCTGGGCGGCTCCGGCGGTGTCTGCAGGGGGCTCCGTTTCCGACGCGAGGCGGCGACCCCCGAGTGATGACCCCTCTTGGCCTGGCCTGGCCGCCAGGGCACTGGCCTACATGCCGCGCGGGCCGGGACCGAGGAGGCTCTGGGCGTCTGCGGGGGGTCCTGGGCGGCTCCGGCGGTGTCTGCAGGGGGTTCCGTTTCCGACGCGAGGCGGCGACCCCCGAGTGATGACCCCTCTTGGCATGGCCTGGCCGCCAGGGCACTGGCCTACATGCCGCGCGGGCCGGGACCGAGGAGGCTCTGGGCGTCTGCGGGGGGTCCTGGGCGGCCCGGCGGTGGCTGCCAGGGGCTCCGTTTCGAACGCGAGGCGGCGACCCCGAGTAGTGATGGACCTCTCTTGGCATGGCCTGGCCGCCAGGGCACCGGCCTGCATGCCGCGCGGGCCGGGACCGAGGAGGCTCTGGGCGTCTGCGGGGGGTCCTGGGCGGCTCCGGCGGTGTCTGCAGGGGGCTCCGTTTCCGACGCGAGGCGGCGACCCCCGAGTGATGACCCCTCTTGGCATGGCCTGGCCGCCAGGGCACTGGCCTACATGCCGCGCGGGCCGGGACCGAGGAGGCTCTGGACGTCTGCGGGGGGTCCTGGGCGGCTCCGGCGGTGTCTGCAGGGGGCTCCGTTTCCGACGCGAGGCGGCGACCCCCGAGTGATGACCCCTCTTGGCATGGCCTGGCCGCCAGGGCACTGGCCTACATGCCGCGCGGGCCGGGACCGAGGAGGCTCTGGGCGTCTGCGGGGGGTCCTGGGCGGCTCCGGCGGTGCGGCGGGGCTCCGTTTCCCGACGCGAGGCGGGGCGACCCCCGAGTGATGACCCCTCTTGGCATGGCCTGGCCGCCGGGCACTGGCCTTACATGCCGCGCGGGCCGTGACGATGAGGCCTTTTTTCCCCCCCCCTGGGCGTCCTGCGGCCTGCGGGGGGTCTGTCAAACAGGCTCTTCCGGCGGTGTCTTGGCAGGGGGCTCCTTCCGCGGACGCGAGGCGGCGACCCACAGTGATTACCCCTCTTGGCATGGCCGGGCCCGCCATGCACCGGCCTGCAATGCGCGCGGGCCGTGGACCACGAGCAGCTCTGGGGTCTGCGGGGGGGTCCTGTGCGGCTTCCGGCGGTGTCTGCAGGGGTCTCCGTTTCCGACGCGAGGCGGCGACCCCCCGAGTGATGACCCCTTGGCATGGCCTGGCCGCCAGGGCACCGGCCTGCATACCGCGCGGGCCGGGACCGAGGAGGCTCTAGACGTCTGCGGGGGGTCCTGGGCGGCTCCGGCGGTGTCTGCAGGGGGCTCCGTTTCCGACGCGAGGCGGCGACCCCCGAGTGATGACCCCTCTTGGCATGGCCTGGTCGCCAGGGCACCGGCCTACATGCCGCGCGGGCCGGGGAGGTGCACCCTGGGCGCGTTGACCATCATGTCAATTTCGTGCCGCCTCTCCCCCACCACCTCCTTCTCACTCTTTCGCTTCCCCTTCCCCTCCTCATTCCTCTCCCCTCCCCCTTTCTCCTCCTGCCTCTCTCCCATTCACCCGCCACCTGCAAGAGGGGGAGAGCAGGGGGAGGACCCGCTGCGCAACCGCCTGGAGCGCTACGCGCGCCTGAACAAAGAGCTGGAGGGGGTCTTAGTCGCTCCTGATCTGCGGAGGAGGAGGAGGAGAGGATGCGGAGAAGGAGGAGGAGGAGGAGGAGGAGGAGGAGGGGGATATGGGGAGGGGGGGATCGGGATGAGAAGGGATAGGAACGAGATGGGGAGCAGGCTAAGGAGGAAGATGATGATGAGGATGAGGGCGATCAGGTTTTCGAAGAATATCATGGAGATGCTGGAAAGCTTTCCACATACTTTCGGAGGTTTCCACGGGGGCCCGTGGAGGAAGAAGAGAAGAAGTAGAGGAGGATGTGGATGAGGAGAAGGAGGAGGAGGATGAGGAATAAGAAGAAGAAGAGGTGGAGGCAGGCTTGGCCAGTGGAGGAGGGGGAGGAGGAGGATGAGGAGGGGGAGGAGGAGGAGGAGGAGGAAGAGGATGAGGAGGGGCAAGAGGGGGAGGATCAGGCGGACGGAGAAAGGCAGGATAATGATCCTGATGACGATGATGATGATGCTGATGATGATGATGATGATGATGATGATGATGATGATGATGATGATGATGATGCTGATGCTGATGTTGATGCTGATGCTGATGATGCTGTTGCGGATGATGATGATGCTGCTGATGATGATGTTGCTGATGATGATGATGCTGATGATGATGATGATACTGCTGATGCTGATGATCGATGATGATGATGATGATGATGATGATGATGATGATGATGATGATGATGATGATGCTGCGCTGCTGCTGCTGCTGTGCTGCTGCTGGCTGCTGCTGATGATGATGCGATGAGGAGGAGGAGGAGGAGGATGAGGAGGAGAGGAGGAGGAGGAGGAAGAGGAGGAGCAGGAGAGGAGGAGAGAGTAGAGAGGAGGAGGAGGAGGCTGAGGAGGAGGGGATGATGGGAGGGGAGGAGAATAAACGGAGAAGAGGAGGAGGATGAGGAGGAGGAGGAGGAGGAAAGAGGAGGAAGAGGAGGAGGAGGGGGAGAGGAGGAGGAGAGGAGGGAGGAGGAGGAAGGGAGGAGAGGAGGCGGAAAACAAGGAGGAGGAGGAGGAGAGGAGAACAGGGCGCCAGGAGGAGAGGAGGAAGAGGAGAGGAGGAGAAGAGCGATCAGGAAGGGGAGGAGGAGGAGGAGGAGGAGGAGAAGGAGGAGAGAGAGGAGGAGGAGCAGGAGGGAGGAAGAGGAGGAGGAGGGGAGCAGATCGGATGAGGATGAGGATGAGGAGGAGGAGGAGGAGGAGGAGGAGGAGGGAGGAGGAGGAGGAGGAGGAGGAGGAGGAGGAGGATTGGGGGGATGCCCGACTGGCCGAAGGAGGAGGAGGAGGAGGAGAAGGAGGAGGATGAGGAGGAGGAAGAAGATGGGTCAAGACACGCAGGCCAACTATCCGGCCGATTCTGCTGGTGGCTGCTCGCGGTCGAAGCGCTCGACGGGGTCTCCGATCGGCAGGGTGCTCCGGGCGGGGCTGGGTCGTGCCAGCCTGCGCTCGATGAAGAGCCTCACGCGCCAGGCTCGCGTCGTTTCGACGCGGCGGCGGAGGCAAGTGCGGGCGATCAGGGCTGAGGGTCGCGGTTGGCGCGAGCTTGCCCAGTGTTGCGCGATCTCGCCAGCCACGCAAAGGGGGGGGGGTATGGGGGGAGGGAAGAAGGCTTCTTGGAAGCGCCCCATGCGTCTTCGAGGGCGCGCGGGCCCTCACTATAGAGGTGATGCCGACGCCTTCTAAGAAGCAGCCTCCTGCCCCCACCCAATATATATATATATATATATATACTCACACCCATGTGTATATATATATGTATATATATATATATATCCCCCAAGATATATATATATATATATATATATATATATACACACATGTATATATATATGTATATATACACGTCCCCAGACTAGTTCTTGACTATTTTTGAATCTTCCCCCTACAGGGGTATTTCGGGCGAAACATTAAAACTTGTCAAAAAATACTCCCCAAATATTCAACAATGGTAGAGCATCGTCCTCTGACTATTTTTCGATTATCTCTGAACGTATCAGATAAAGGCTAAGAGTACGGTGGCTTCTCTTCTTTTGCGCGCGCCGCCGCCACCCCCGGCCGGCAGGACCACGGGGCTCGTCGAGGTCGGACGGCCCGCGCGGTGTCGGAGACCAGCGCGCACGCCGCCACGACGGGAGCCACGGCTCGGGGCTCGTGCCGCCTCCTCCAGCTCGACCCGATTCGATGTCGACGGCCTCCGACTTCGGCTCGATCCGACTCCTGTTCGAGGTCGATTCGATTTTCCGATCCGATTTCGATTCGATGTCGATTCCGTTTCGATTTTTCGATCCGTCTCCCATTCGATCCATTCGATTTCCGATGTCGATTCGGTTTCGATTTCGATTCGCTTTCGATGTCGACGGCGTCCGATTTCGATTCGGTGCCGACGGATTCCGATGTCCAGTCCGTTTTCTCAACGGAGGCCTACAAGCTTGCCGATCTCCGCAGGTTCGGCTTCTCCCGCCTCGGCTGCCGCTCTCCGCCGACCCGATGGATTTCGATCACCGATCCGGCTGATCGATGCGATTCTCGGCTCGCCTGCAGCAGTAAGCTCCAGCTCGCAGATGTCCGCTCCGATTTCTTGGGTCGGCGCTGGACCTCCCCATGCGGCTCCTCGGCGCCGCACCTGGCGCTCCTCGCGCGTCAGGGAGGGGGGAGGCTACATCGCCGACCCAAGAACTCCGCGCGGACCTCCGATCGTTTCCGTTTACGGGCAGAAACTTTTGGTTATCATGTCGCGCCGCCGGTTTTGGCCCACCACGCTTCGGCGCGACGCGGTAACCACTTTCCAATTCCCCAGCGTCAGCGTCCCGAGTTTTTCCGGCCATCCGCCCTCTGGAGCGGAGTGACACGTTATCCGCTTGCAGGGTAGAGCGTGTCGCCGGGGCCGCCGCCGCGACGCTCTAAGCAACATTTTCTTGTCCGTATTTTTATTGTTGCTCCGCCAGGTGTGGAATCGGGGTCGGGCCAGGATCGCGGACTGTTGCGCTGAGGAGCAGGGGCTCCAGGAGGAGTGCCCCGACTCCGGCAGCCGTGTGCTCATGACGCCGAACGTCATCCGTTGTTTTTGTTACATTTTCGTTTTCGTTTCGACGTACTTTCACCTGGCCTGCCTGGTGGTGATGGCCCGGTCTGGCAACTGGGTGGCCATGGCCTGCCTGCTTCCCTCACACATGCTGGTCGTCGGGATCGAGGTCTACTGCGCACTGCAGGACCGCGACCTGGCCCAGCTTCGCCGGAAGCTGAAGAATGGCTGCTGTCGTGTGGCCGTCTTCGAGGCTGCAGTTGTCATCGTCGGAGGGCTACTTTTTGGATATCCGCTCGTGCGTGCCTATCGTTGCCTGAAGGAGCGTGACAAGAGTTTCCTGGACGAGATCGAGCAGAGCGCTGCTGGGCTCGACGCAGGTGCCCAGGGCCTACGCTTCGACACTCACGCTATGCTGGTGTCCGACGTGCCCCGGGTAGTGGTCCTCACCAACCGTCTCATCAGCGCGTATTGGACCGGACCAGAGGTGTTCTGCATATGTTCCGCCGTGGCGATGACCCTTGTAAACGTTGTGCAGGCTGTCGCCAACTTCGATTACTACGCCTCTCGCTACATCAGGGGCCAGTACGACCTGTGCGACTTGTGTTGCGACCAGCAGTGCTTACCGTACCACATTCTGTTGGAGTTCAGAACGGCCCATTACGTGTACAGGTTAGCCGAGATATTGAGCAGGACTCTTGTGCTTGTGGCCGTCGCTCTCGTCTTCAAGGTTGATGCCAGGCTCGGCATCATATTGCTTTTGTCGGACTACTTGTTAGGGCTGGTGGCCCTTAGAATTATCACGGGCTCCAAACTCATCTTGGTGCTCAGTATCGATATATTCGTAGCCAATGTATGCCGTTTCATCGACGAGCATGGCATGGCAATGCAGGCGCAAAGGGTTTCCAGATTCCTGTGGGCGCTGCGGAATGCGCAATTCTGGCTGGCTGCTGGTCTGTACTATCATTACGCACTGCAGCCGAACGAAACAGGAGCCCTCGAGGGCAACGGAGCCAAGAGGTTGCTGATAGTAGGCATGTCCGCCCAATTTACCACTTTCGTCTTCCTGCGCTTCACGAAGGTGGGCAACGAGTCGGTTGACTTCTTTCTCGCCGCCAAGCGCGGCGACATCGAGGCGCTGGAGGATATCCTGCGCGCTGGTTGTGACCCAGACATCAGGCAGGGTGACTCGCACAACGAGACCGCGATGCACGTGGCGGTCTCTCACGGCCAGGTCTTGGTGTTGCAAGCGCTCCTGGAACATCGCGCGGACGCCCGGCTTCTCAACGACAATGACGAGACGCCACTCCACATCGCCTGCCGGCGCGGCGACATTGACGCGATCGAGTTGTTGGTGCCCTGGGGCACGAAGCCCACACAGCTACAGACTTCGGACCTCCGCGGACGGCAGACTTCTTCGGTAGTGAATCATGGGAGCCTTTTCACCTTCGCAAGTCCGTCTTGAGCGTCGATTCGCGTCTGGTGCCGATGAGGTGCGCCGATCTGGCGTCGGCCGGCGTCGATGAGCGTCGATTTAGCGCCGCTCGGCGCCGATCTGGCGTCGACCAGCGCCGATTCGCAAGAGCCGACCAGATGGTATGGGAGCCCCCCATGAGTTACCACCGTCGCAGGCCTAGAGGTTGACACCAACACCGAGATCGGCGGTGTGCCTCCACCGAGGGAAGACGATCCCGATCTCGGTGATGGTGGTAATATTTTGGTTTCCAAGGTGACCGAAATATTACCGCCAGCACCGAAATCCAGGATCACCCTCCCCCTGTGGAGGCACCCCCCTGTTTCGGTGTTGGTGCCCATCTCCAGGCCTCCAATCTGGGAGCCCCCCATGAGTTACCACCGAAGGCTTCCACCAGCGCCGCACTCGCTGGCCCCCCCCACCCTCCTGCTCCTCCTCCTCCTCCTCCTCCTCCTCCTCCTCCTCCTCCTCTCTTCCTCCTCCTCCTCCTCCTCCGTAGCCATTTTGGCTCAAGGTTGAAACCTGCCCTGGGGCTTCAGCCTTGTCGCAGGCGACAGGGAGGCCCGAACCTTCCGAGGCCAGGACGCCTCTCCCGTTCCTGTCGTGCGCCCCAGCACGCTCCCAGTTTTGGCTACAACGACGCGCTCTGAGGCGCCATGGGCCCTGCCGCCTGCGACCGCCCGCACCATGCCGTGCATCGTCTCGATGGTGGTGATGATGTTGATACGGAGATCGCTTCCTCTGGTGGCCGTGACTCCTCTGAGGAGCCCCGCCGCTCTGCCTCTCGGAGCGGTGGCAGCCGAGGTGCCCGTCGTGCCGCTCGCGCTCGGCCTTCCTCCCACGGCAACGCTGGACCCGCTCCTGAGCCTCCTCGCCGTGCTCGCCGTGCTGGCCGTACTCGTGGCTCTGGCGGGGACGTCCCTCCTTCTCCTGGTGTTGCTGCCTCACATCGGGGCCCCGACCCTGCAGCACAGGGAGCATCTCGGGGTGCTGCCTCCAGCCATGGGGCTCAGGCTATGCCCTACGAGGTGTGGGATGATGCCAAGCGGGCACAAGTGGCTGCAGACCTGGAGATGGCCGCTACCTTCCCGTCGCAGGAGATGCGCCCCGACCCGAACGCCACCCCGCAGGGCCCCGCTGCTGGGCTCTTCGACCCATGGGCCGCGGCGGCGGGGACTGGCGCTCTCTCGCGGGCTCAGGCTGCTGCTGGTGGTGCTGTTGACTGTGGTAATGAGGAGGAGCAAGCCGCCTTCACTCGGGCCTTTTTACCATGCCGACATCTCCGCGAGATTCCTGCAGCTGCGCAATGAGTTCGACAACATCGTTACCACGGCCATCACCAACTCCGTCCAGCAGTCGAACGCTCCTATCGTGGCCACGCTCGCCACATTGCAGAAGCAGCTCTCCTCGCAGCACACCTCCATTGACCAGCAGGTCATGGCATCGGTGCGCCCACAGTTCGATACTATGCAGCGCCAGTTTCAAGAGCAGCATGATGCCCTCTGCCGTCGCATCGACTACACCGAGCGGGACATCGAGGCCCACGCCGCTCAGCTGGCTGTGCTGCAGAAGCAGGTCGAGGAGCTTCGCCGCCAGAATGAGCTGGACCGACAGCTTCCCTCGCGGCCTCCTGCCCCGCCTGGCTTCGACCGCGAGATCGATCCGACGCAGGTCATTGTGGTCTCGTCCAAGCTCGTCGGTCTGGCTGGCGTCCGTGAGGTGGTCAACTCCTTCATGGGCGAGCTCAACTTCTCTGAGGACGACTCGTACACGATCAAGGCCCTCACGCCGCTCCCCTCTAAAAAGTTTGCCGTCTGCTTCTCTGGGCCGATCGGACTTGCCTCCCGCCGTGTGCAAAAGGCCCTTGCTAACCTCAAGACGGACGGCGCCTGGCGGGTCTTCCAGTGCCCGGCTCAAGGTGCTGACCCAGCCCGTCTTCACTTCGGTCCTGACAAGTCGCCGAAACAAGTTCGTGGCGAGATGCTCCTCCGTAAGGTCCGCTCTTCCCTCATGGAGCTTGACAGTCAGAGGAGGTGGTATGTCGATCGGGAGCGGAGCGTTCTCAAGTCTGACTACACCGACATCCTTCGTCTTGTCCCACGGCCAGGTGACGAACCACCTGAGCTCTCTTGGAACGACGTGGGGATCCGCGCCCTCGGCCTTGACCGTCGGGACCTTCAGGGAGCCATTCGAAACATCACCGCTGCGCCGACGGCCACCCAGTGGTGTCTTTAACGCCATTACCAGTATGTTTGTGCTCCCAGTGGGGCAGGTCGGCGGAGAGATCACAGCCAGCCTCACATTCATGACATGGAATGCACGTGCTCTTCTTCAATTTGGTGGGGCGAGGGCCTCGCCTAAGCTATCTTACCTAAGCAGACTGCAGCCGGGGCGATCCATCTTGGCTCTTCAAGAAGTGCATGCAGATCGATTTGAGTTGAACGACTTTGTGACAAGGCTTTCTTCCACGGCCATTGTCCACAGTAGCTTTTGTGAAGATGACGTTGGAGAGGTTGTCCGCGGCTCTGGGGGAGTTGCAGTCATTCTTCCTCCTTTCTCATCTTCTTCGGTCAGTAGCTGTGCGGTGCCTCTGATCAGAGGCAGGGTGCTTCGCGTTGATGTGGCACTTGGGCATACACAGCTGGTGATCTTCAACGTTCACAATCACGGCTTGACCAAGGGTGAGGTACAATCTGTCTGTGAGCAGATCGGTTGTGCTCTGCGTCGAGCTGCTGATGACCCACTCTCGTACTTTGTGGTTGTCTTGGGGGACCTCAACTACAGTTTCGATTCTTCTCTTATCTTTCACCGACCTACTGGTGTACAGCGGCAGCAGACCCATGATCATAAGGTTCATGCTCCAATTTGGGCTGCTACACTTGGCAAGATGATGGAGGTTAACTCGGAAGCGGCTACCCACTTCTGCAAGTTCACCAATTCCATCAACATCATCGACCGCTTCTTCTGCTCTGCCACAGGCTGGATGATGTGTCAGCTCATGACCGAGGTCAACACGGTGGACACGCCAGAGCACCTGAGCTCCCAGGGCATCTCTGATCATGCTGCTCTTTCGATTCGGCTGCGACTTCGTGGTGCGCGTCCTGCCTCTGAGCGGCCCATACCCAAGCACATCTTCACCTCTGTTGCCTTTCAGCGCCGACTCCGAGGAATGGTTGCTGATAGTGATGGGGATCTGCTCCGATGGAGCCCACCTGTGGCCACAGAGCACTACAAGTATATGATGAAGGAGGCCGCCAGGGAGGCCCGCAACATCCTCTTCTATTCGGCCCCTGACTTGCCTGGGACGCTGCAACTGGTTGCTCGTGGGATAGCGCGAGCTGTGTGGCGTCAAGACGCTGCCCTCGCCCTCAAGCTCATCGAGACCTCCCAGCGCGCCGCCGACGCCCTGACGGTCGACGGCCAGGTCGTCTCGCTGCGCCACGCCCCGTCCTTCGAGCAGTGGGCTGCTGGAGTACATCGGCTGGTCTATGAAAAAGAACTTGCTGCTGCTGCTGCTGATCGTGCTCCATCAGGCTCCTCCTCTGCTTGGCGGCCTAGTTCGGCCACGCTTTTGCGTGCTCTCGAGAGAAAGGCCTCCATGTGGGCCCCGTTTTCGAAGCGCCTGATACTGTCCGCGGTCAACACCCCAGAGGGCCCCATCTCAGAGGTTCGGGAGCGCACTGCGGCCCTGGCGGCCTACTGGACCCCTGTCTTCTCCAAGAAAGAGCCCCACCCTGTCATGACCCAGAAGTACCTCGATAGGTTCCTCACCAAGGCCTCCGACATCGACCTGCACTGTCCTCTGACCTCAATGTTTCGGAAGGTTCTCCGGCGTGCCCGTCACTCTGCTCCTGGTGTCGACGGGCTGCCCTACGCGGCCTGGTCGGCGTGCGACTATGGCGCCCAGCACCTGGCCAGAATGTTCGGGTGGCTATGCCAAGGTCAGTCGTTGTTCGCCTCCGCCAGCGTCACCCTCCAGGCGTTTCTCCCCAAAGGTGTTGACGACTCAGATCAGCCGTCTGGGATTTGTTCTCGGTCTCCTGATAAGATACGGGTCCTGGGGCTGCGAAACACCGACGTTAAGATCCTGAGCTCGGTCATGAATCGGGTCCTCGAGCCTGTCGTCCAAGCCGTGGCACCTGCTTCCCAGAGAGGCTTCATCAGAGGACGGAATTTTTGCCATAACGTGCTTGAGCTCGATGCCCATGCTCGGCTTGCATCTCAACATCCCCTTGCTGAGCGCCGTTCTCCTGTCCTCGTCGGGTTCGACTACGGGCAGGCCTTTCCGAGCTTGTCGCAGGCCTTCCTGCTACAACTGTTGGGCTCTCTTGGGCTCCCCGCCGAGGTTCTTGCTTTTGTGGGATGGATGTATTTGGCAGTGGAAGGTGTGGTCCATGATGGGGGACGCTACGCGACCATCTTCTGGATTCGCTCGGGCATCATCCAGGGCTGTGGTCTCTCGGGGTCTTTATATGCTCTCGCCTCCTCTCCCATGCTGGCCGACCTCGAGCGGAGCATCGAGCATCGTCGGCTGGGGATATGCCGTGCTTGTGCCGATGACCTAGGTGCTGTCCTGTATGAGCTGGCCTCTCTGCGTATCCTGGTGCGGGTCCTCGGTGTCATGGAAAAGATTGCGGGCCTCAAGATTAAGATCAGCAAGTGCACCCTGGTCCCTCTCGTTGGCTGCATGACCGAAACCCTGAAAACTATGACCCAGGCCCAGCTGGCCTCGATCGCGGGTGCCTGGTCAGGCTTTGCTGTTGAGGGGTGGTTACTTTATCTTGGGATGATCTTGGGCCCTGATGCGACGGTCGACATGAACTGGAGGGGCCCGCTCATGAAGGCACGATCTCGCTCTCGGATGTTGGGACGTGGGGTTG